ACACACACACACACACACACACACACACACACACACACACACACACACACACACACACACACACACACATCTAAGGCTGAGATTACAAAAGCCTTTGTCTGTGTGCTAAGAGCAGAGCAGAGGAGAGACCTGGGAATGATTAGTGTTTAGAGGCTCGGGACTTGACTGATTTATGTAGAAAGTCTCAAAGGTGAGTTTTTTCTTCTAATTTAAACACAATCACTAAATCCACCTCCCCTCGCCCCCCCACCCCCAAGTATTCAGTGTCACGCCACAGACGTTGGAATGCCTTGTGATCATGGTGCACTTGTTGCACTCAGACACGAAACTTCAAAAGGATTTTTTTTTGCATAGCTCGGATTCTAAACAAAAACTACAAAAGCTAATTCAGACATATTGGCCATATGGTTTTCTGCGGAGCTGTTCGTTAACATAAATCCAAAAAAAATTTGTGTGGGGGATTAATGAAAGACATTAAAGTTGAAGAGATTAAGACCGCTGTAAATAAAGAAAAAARTCAGCTCTTAAAAAAAAAGATGTCCTGATCAGCAACACAGCTAGAGTCCAAACCTGCTCACTGATGGAGGCAGAAGAGATTTTGAGGGGAACCCGGTGTTATTTTGAGACTGAAGGGAAGTTAACAGGGCTTCGCTGTCTGTTTCAAATTGGTGCAACCCTCCCAAAATCCCATGTTGTCTTTGCTTGCTATCCAAGTGATAATCAGTCCCATTCTCACTTAATCTCCTCGCTCTATAAACACGGCCAAAAACAGTCAGCACAGAGACGAGAAATTATTACACAAAGATACACTTTTTAAAATTTAAGATCCCATCATAACCCTTTTATTTACACTGCGAGCAAACCTCCCTTGCTTAGAAACCACCATATAAAAACAACAAACAGACTGACACAGATGCGGCACGGTTCAAATTTTATCAACAAGTTTAATTTAGATCGTGACGATCACAGCGGCGCAAACTCTGCCTCAGCTTCTACCTTTCACTACGAAGGGTGTGGAGGAGAGAA